AACAGATATCATAAGATCAGGTCCAATGGGCCGTCTGGATAAACTTGTGATTCTAAACCCGGGGTGAAAGGTCGGCGGAGTGAACATTAGCTGAGTGGCATCAGCCTCCACTCATCACTGCTCTGTATTTAAAGCCTGACGGTCTATCTGCTCCGTGGCTGAGTCTTCCGGGTCATTAAGTCCTGCTGCCGGGCTGCTGATGAGGAATCAGACGCCCATATCATTTCTCCAGAGGGGAGCGCCCACCTCTACAAGGGCTCTGTTTTAGTTGGACACACACGGGACGCTCTCACACTGGCCGGGGGACGAGGATTTTGGACACAGCTCGTATCCTTTTAATAGGAACCGTTTAATCCCAGGCCAACCTTGTCATTGGACAAGCAACTCTTTATCCTTAAGTTTGAACTTTGGTTCTGGTCATTAAAGCCTCTCCACAGCCCCACAACAGTTCACTCAAATTTTATTGTCCTTTTTAAATTGTATAGTAAGGAAAACTAATAATAATAATAATAAAAAAAAGACAAAGAAAAGCATGTATTTGTACTTGACCAAATATGACCAAAAGGTCAGGTTTAAATGCATTTGTTATTGTAATAGGGTTGAAACATAAAGTATTATGAGGTTTCACTGTAGTAAATGTCTGTGTTTATACAGAGTACTTTATAATTCAGAAACTTACTTTTCTTACTTTTAACATTTGACTTTAGATATGTTTGTGTGTGTGCTGGTATAGCTATACTTCTGGGGACATTTTGGGGAAAATGCTACAGTTGACATGTATTCCATGTGGGACCTGTTTCAGGTCTTCACCTAGAAGAAGGATATTTTGAGGTTCAAGATCATATTTTAGATTTAGGATTAGATAAATGTAACGATTAAGATATTGGTGTATGTTGAGGTTGGTACTAGAGGCCAGGGAAGTAATTTATGTCTATGGATGTTGCACTAAAATCCAAAACCTGTGTGTGTGTGTGTGTGTGTGTTATCTACCCACATGGCCCTGGTGTACGGTGGGTGAGTTCAGAGTATGAAACCTACAGAGGGGCTTATCCCTGGAAGATCAGACCAAATTACCATTTCCTCACACATCTGGGCTTTTGTTCTCCTCTTTGGCAGCAGCAGAAATGATTGCACCTTCATTCACTCTCTCCCTCCCTCTCCCAACAGGACAAGTGGGAGGTTAAAAAAGCTTCCTTTTGTCATTCCACACAAAGACTGTTTAATAGTTTGGAAATCTTATATAGAGTGACTGTGGAAAGGCCAAAAGTTCAGCCTTGACAATAATCTCTCTTTTCACCATCACCAGCAGGTAAAGTGTGTGTGTGTGTGTGTGTGTGTGTGTCGTTACAAGCGCTGTTTTTCCACTGCCTGAAACTTAAGCTGATTCTTAGGTTCTTACTTAAGGCCCTTTCCTTTCATGGCTCAAACTCTGGGGATTTCTCTCACATTGTTACAACAACACTGCTCGACTTTCACTTAAAAGGATGCATTTTTTCTTTTGTGTAGCAAATTCAATTTTTTAAATTGTTAAATGTAGACATGTTGATTAATTAAAAATTGAAATGACATTTTCTTAATTAGCAGGAACTAGAATTTTTTTTAAAATAAAACGCTCTGGCCGGAGCATCAAGGAAGGAAATAAGGAAATAAGACATGAGCTGCAAGTGGTTAGAACTTAAGGATTTTATGGGTTAATAAATGCACAAATGTGTCCCGGTGTCCCACAAATGTGTTCACAACAGATGAACACATTTAAAATGCGATAAAAGTGACATATTTTCATATATGTAAGAAACTAAGGTAGAATTCCACCTGAAGTCATTTTTTTCCAAGTGCAACATTATTGAGAATTACATGAAATTTGATGCCAGTATCAATAAAGAATAACAAATGACCATGTATATATATATATATATATATATATATATATATATATATATTATGATGTTAAAACTACATTATAGTGTCTGAAGAGTATCATCTGTAAAAAATCCGATTAATAATAAAACTTTCATTAAGAAAGGCTAAAGTGATAAAAATGGCCGTCTCAGCTGATTTAAAAAAAAAAGAAAACAATGACTCTTATCTTATTTTTACACCGACTAATGTACGATGTGACAGTAATGAAGATGATGTTTTAATTCCTGGCTGACAGTGAACAGGGCTTCCTGCTGTTTGAGACATTAATCTATATTTAACAGGAGAGCTGAGCACGGTCAGATGCAGGAGACGACATGTGTTCACAGAGTGTCGTGATTTAACATCCCCGCTGAAACTAACACGTCCAGATGCTTTCAGCCCTTAATTACATCATAGATTTCCTACTGATGAACAGGCAGAGAATTAGCAGTGAATGGGCTAATTCACAGACGTCCCCCCCCATCCACCCTCCCGCCCCACCCACAGTCTCTTATTGCTGTACAAGTAGATCACTGAAGGATAAAAAAGAAAAAAAGAGAGAGCTGGTTGCACTTAGCTACACAAACATTAGTATTAACGATTGGGCTGCCAGTTTGGAATTGGTGACAAACTGCAGACGAGCAAAAATTGGAGTCCGAAACCAATCAGGAAGTTAATGAGGAGAAAAATTACTCCGCTTTTCTCCTCCCACCTCTGCTGTGGAGGAGAGATGGAGGGAGGGTGGGTGGGTGGGTGGGGGGTGAGAGGATTTGGGACGAGGCCAATCAAGTCAGAGGATTCTGGGAAACCTGGATCATCTGTGCTTGTCTGTGTAAATGTTTCCATGGGCCGACTCTTTCACTGTGACTGTAGGTGAATGACCATTTACAAATTAAATAATTTATAATCACAACTTTACATGTGACTTCAACCTAAGAGAAGCATTACTAAACAAATTTATTTACTAATTATTTTTTAATTTTATTCAGAAATAAAAATGTATATTTACTTGACTTGTAATCATTACACTTTATTTAAAATAAAATACAAATATTGAGTGTGTGCCAGGTCTGTTGTGCCAGGTCTGTTGTAGTCAGGGCTGTTACTCTCACCTGCTCCCTGTGGTCACCAGTTCTTCAGTCTCACTGGTGTCACCTGGTGCCCTGGGTAGAAATCCCTCCCTCACTCTGTCGGTGTCCATGGTATTTTGTTTCTGTGTCTAGGTACAGGAGTTTAGGTACTTAGGATCAACTGTTCAGAGCAGAGGAGACTGTGGAAGAGAGGTGAAGAATAGAGTACAGGCAGGATGGAACAGCTGGAGAAAAGTGTCAGGAGTGATCTGTGACAGAAGAGTGTCAGCTAAGGTGAAGGGAAAGGTTTACAGGACGGTGGTGAGACCAGCCATGATGTATGGTTTAGAGACGGTAGCAATAGGCAGAAGACAGGAGGCGGAGCTGGAGGTGGCAGAGTTAAAGATGCTGAGATTCTCTTTAGGAGTGACAAGAATGGACAGGATCAGGAATGAGGTCATTAGAGGGACAACACAGACAGGAAGGTTTGGAGAAAAAGCTAGAGAAGCCAGATTGAGATGGTTTGGACATGTGCAGAGGAGGGACAGTGGATACATTGGTAGAAGAATGTTAGAGATGGAGCTACCAGGTAGGAGACAAAGAGGAAGACCAAAGAGGAGATATATGGATGCAGTGAGGGAGGACATGCAGATAGTTGGAGTCAGAGTAGAAGATGCAGAGAACAGGGAGAGATGGAAATCAATGATTCACTGTGGCAACCCCTGAAAAAAGGGACAAAGCCAAAAGAAAAAGAAGAAGTCTAGTTCCTGCTCCTTCTCAGTTTTTTTTTCTAGTTCTTCCTGTCGTTTATGATTTTCTAGCTGTTTCAGTTTGAACTGTGAAATGAGCTTTTTGTCCCAATCTCTGTCTTGGGTCCCGTTGAGGGCAAACAAAGACACTTGTAGACACTTGACACTTGTATTTCTCTGCAAACACTTCCTTCAGATAACTTTATTTTTAAATAGACTTAGTTAGAAACCAGGCAGACAAGCCCTTACTGGCATCTTAATGGTGACTCATTGTTTCTCTTTAAACTTCACTTCAGGAAACAGGCCTGTAGAGACTATAGTGAGGAGACTGTATTGTATTAAACCACTGATCTTATTTGTCCAACGTTGTCAAAGTCTCTCCACGGTGTCTCGGAGTGAGTCGACTACATGAAGCTAACAGTCCAGCGCTTGGATGTAGTGCTTTTGTTTAATGTTTTTTTTTTTTTTCGTTTGTTTTTTTTTTGCCGACTGATTCAATTTGCTATAAATCCCCAGCTGTGCTGAGAATCACTCTGCTGCTCATATTTATATCAGGTGAAAGCCGCACTAACCGACACAGGGAGGACCATTCATCGTGCAGTGCTGATGATACCACTCCGCTCTTTTCTATGTCTCTCTACAGTATTTCTCTTCTCCTTCTCAATTACTCAAATCACTGTACTAGGACGTTTTTATTGTTTGTGCGATGCTGTGGCTGATACGAGTTCATCACAGTAATGACAGTGAGGAGTACTGAGAGAAGGAGGGTTTGTCTGCACTCCTACGAAGGATTAGGAGTTTATCTCTTGTATATCCGTCAAACACACTTTGTCCTTGAATCGAAAGCCTCTGTGTTATTGTCCTCTGATTTTTTTCCCCCCAAAAAATCAGGACCTCTCATTTTAATCACACTTTTCTCAATTCTCTAATGCATTGTTTCTCAAAGACTGGGTCGCGACCCTCAGGTGGGTCGCAAGAGGGTTTTTTTTGGGTCGTCTCTCATTATGTTTCCCAGGATTTTATAACTAATGTCTATTGACTTGGGTCGTGAAGGTTTGTGACTTTTAAAATATGGGTCCCCAGGAAAAGAAGTTTGGGAAACACTGGTCTAATTTCTGGCGCACCGGTGTCTGGTGTTACCAGATGTTCGTTTATATGATTGGATCAGAGCATGATTGTTTACAAATTTTGCAAACAAGGTTTTCTTATCACTTTAGCTCTTCAGGCCTGTGGTCACACCTCAATATTGACCACCTTCCTGTTTCTGTTTTCTTCTCTTCAGCCGCCTCGTCCAGCGTCGGCCTCACCGCCGCTCCTGACTCTGCCCTGAACTACACCGTCACCTCCATCGTTTACGGTGAAACAAACAAATAAAGAAACCTCACATATAGTCGGATTAAAAAATATATATATATTAGAGAGTTATGCACTAAATTGTTCACTACAAATGTTTTAGTTAACTGACGTTTCCGATTACACTCTTCTTTTGCACCTTGTTGCTACTTCACTAGTCTGGATGTTGTTCATAGTCAATATTCTCACCCCAGCCATATTTAGAAGGTTTTTTGTGCACCATTTTGACTCGACAGATTTACAGAGTAAGGGATTGTTTTTTTTTTTTTTTATTGTCAGGTTATATTTTCCTGTGCCTTTTAAAAACATTAGACAGACCTGATCAAATGACTCGCTCCAATGATTTGAATGTGTGCCTTAAATTGACATCTTTTTAATAATGCCTGAAACCTAATCAACTGTCTTCTGGTCAACAAAAGATAATTTAATTGAAATGCTGCTTAAAAAAATGTTAAGGTTTTTAAAAAA